AAAGGCCTGGGGGATTGTAAGGAATATTACGACCGCTACGGCCATCCAGATTCACAGTTCTTTCGTGTGTCCTTAGACGGCAGCTACGACGCGCCAGCTACGGGGTTCGTCAGATTAACGTCTTGGAAGTTGGCAAAGGGCTTACACCCCATAATCTACGCGTGGTATGGTAAGCATTTGCAGGAGAAAGAATGGATACCAGTGCCATTGTTAAAGTTCTTTGAAGAGCGTAAGCTCCTGAAATACACAGCGCATGAAGCCATACTTTGCCATAGCGCCTACACGAAGTGGCTCCCAGAGCACAACCCAACCGCCCGAATTGTCAAAGGCAAATTTACCCAGGGCGCTAAGGAGGGAGAGAAGCACATGCAACGGCGTTTAATAACAGACGAAGGAGAGTTAAGCTTCCTCATTAAAAGAGCCCACGATCAAGGAACGATGGTGTCTGTAGAGAAATGGGATTACCTCGTAGAAGATCAGCTGCACAAATGGAATGCTTTGTGTTATTACCAGGACCATCGGCCGCAGTATTACCATCCGCGTGCCAGTATGCTCGCATATGCGCATATCAACCTCTTAGCAATGCTCCTACGGTTTGACAAAGAAGACATTCCACGCGTAGCCACGGATTCCCTATACGTGAAGCCTAGTGTGTTGGAAAAGATGAAGGAATTCTACACTGCCGATGAACTCGCAGAAAGTGGACAATGGCGCGTTAAAGATGAGGAGATAAGAGCCTGGAGGGCACGTGTAGAATATCACGGAGAACACACCCGCGGTTCCATTACGCCGACGGAAGAGCCACTGCCCTCAGTTGCGGACCCAATCTCTTACCAACGCTTCTCTTACCTTTACGGTACGGGAGGCAGCGGTAAGACGACGAGTGTGTTAGAACTCTTTCCTAAGATAAAGGTGCTAACGCCAACACATCGTTTGGAAAGAGAACTCTGCGAAATGGGCCACGACGCGCAAACTTACCACAGCTTCTTTCGCTGGAATGGCCAAAAGTGGGTGCCGGAAGCCATCCACGACATACCTCCCGTGATACTTTGGGATGAAATCTGTACCGTGCCGCTAGAAATCCTGCAAGAGTTCGTGGAATTTCTCCGTGGGAAATGTCAGGTAATATTCGCCGGGGATCCATGCCAGCCGCCTCCTATAGCCGGAGAAATGCCTCATGAATGGTTAAAAGAAATGGTAGACTATCATGAAGAAATTAACGCAGACTACCGTAGCAAGGACCAAGTGAGGAAATTAAAGGCAGAATTAAGGGGCCTTAGCGACGCCGAACAATCAAAGGTGTTACGTAAGAGGGTACGAGCGAAGTCGTATGAAGACTTCCTGTATTCTTGGCATCCTAAGGATTTGGTGTTAAGCAGTAAGCGCGCAGCACAGTCGCGCATACAAAAAGATCTACTGAGAATACACCAGGAGCGGTTCCCTAGTCATTTGGTGCCCGTTTGTTATAAGCCGCGTGACACCCGCATGCAAAGAAAAGATGTATTAGTACCAGGCACGAATGTTCAACTGCAGAACGCAGTAACGCACGATAAAGCCTGGGTGCCCATAGAAAAGGTGGAAAAAATAACCTCCCATCCAGACTGGCGCTTGGGCTATTGCATGACAGTCCACAGCGCGCA